AACAAGGAAGTCACTTACAATCAAACTGTATTTCTCACTGTTCGTGAATATTTGAAGCTCCCTGCTTGGAAACGTTATATGTGCCGTATCGGGCTGAGCCCCTTAATTTTCTTTACGATCTACCCTTCCATATATTTCTTCATTTTACAACGTTTTCAAAGAGATTCATGGATAACTAACATTGGACTATGTGTTTATGGTTACATACACTACTATATTGGTGGAACGGAATTCTTTCTGTTGTTTCTTTTGACAGCTATGTTTGCTAGTTCTTTAGGATGGATCCTCTTTCATTGTCAACATACATACAATCCGCCTTATATCAACAATACTGAAGGTCAATATTCGCAATTCGAATCTGCAATTCGTGGATCATCATACATCATGATACCATCAATGCTGAAGTGGTTTACTATGGGAATTGAGTATCATCACATTCACCATCTTTCTACTAGAATTCCTGGCTATAATCTTAGACGTGCACATGAAGATGCGCCGACACACTTCTGGAAGCAATGCTTTGTATTCGATTCATTCGACAAGATTATCGATTCTCTCAGCAAAACGTGTTTTGACGAGGAACATGATCGATTTGTAGGACTCTCTGAAATAAAGTGATAATAAAGGCTACAACTACATATAAACTGACTTAAAAGATTCTTGTAATCAAATTAAACATTTGCTAACAAGATAAAATAAAAAATAGCTAATTTTTTTTTATTAATATAAACATGATATTTCGGTATCTATTACACAGACACCATCATCAGACGAGACAACCACCAAAAACTATACATAGATTTATATCAGAATTATTATGTCCTTATATAATATATGTAAAAAGAAATGTATCAGCACATTTTAAAGTATATAAGTTAACTCATTGATAATAAAAATTAACTTAAAATAAAGACATCCATTTTTTGCTGTATTAAAATCATATTAAAATAATGATATAAATAAATGGACAAGTAAGTATATAATATAACAAGATAAAATAAAAAACAGCTAAATTTTTTTATTAATATAAACGTGATATTTCGGTATCTATTACACAGACACCATCATCAGATGAACAACCATCAACATTAAGTGTAAACCCCCCCTCATAATTGAAGACCCTCCCATA